AGGCAGCTACAGAGTCTATTATCATCATGGCAGGAAGCATGGCAGCATCCAGGCAGACATGGTGCTGGAGGAGCTGAGAGTTCTACATCTTGATCTGAAGGCCAACAGGAGAAGACTGTCCTCCAGGCTGCTAGGAGGAGGGTCTCCTCATCCCCATAGTGACACACTTCCTCCAACAAGGCCACATCACTGGGCCAAGCATATTCAAACCACCACACCAGTAAAATAAGTGCACTACCTAATAATTCAACTGAAGGAAATTTTCTTGGTCAATCTGATGCTAGCAAGCAAGAGACCATCACTCAAGGGATCTGTGTACACCTAATAGATTCTTGTTTGAGATTTTGCTTTGACGGCCATTAGATCTTCATTGTGGAGTTCTATCTGGAGTTCTCAGAGACCCATGGCAGGAAGGATTTAGGTGTTTAGCTAATTAAAGACAAAATAATATGATACCTTGGCTTTCTGCTTTCCTAGAGAACCTGGGAACAGCCTGCCCTGTTCACATCTAGCATTTCAATAGGCAGCATAAGAGAGGCTGACAGCTACCAGGGCAATAATATATACTTGTCTCTTGTCTTAGAAATAAGCTAAGTTTTTTTTTTAAATCAGACAAAAGTCTAACTTCCCTTAAATCACAACATTTAAAAATTCACCCACAGTGACGAATTTAAGAATTCTGGATCTTTTGAAAGAATAGCCAAGACCAGTTCTGAAACTCTGGGCAGAAGATACAGAGCCTGATCATGTAATGTGTGTTGCTTTAAACACACCTGGAGATGCACATGATTCCTGTACTGCCCTCATGAACAGATGAGCACTTGTGTATATAGCATATAAAGTCCTGTGGTGCTTAAGACTGTCCATGTGCTTGATGTCAGGGCCTCCTAGGCAGTTTGGACAGTAATGATAGTGAAGTCATAATCAGTGTGCTCCAGTGGACTGCTCCTCTGTTTGCTAACCCTCTGATTTGGCCTCTCTGATAAAATGAAAATCAGATGAGAGCTGGAGGCTAACATACCAGTTCCTAGTTGAACTCAGTAAAACACCCAGTGCCTTTATTTGCAAGAAGAGGTCAAAAACACTTCTTTTCTAAAGGTCCTGCATTTGCAGTGGTTTCAGCAGTTGCTGGACAATGTCTAGGTTTTGAACAGGGTCCTCTTTTTTCCCCTTCCACCTGGTATCAGAGGTTTGGCAAAGGATAACCTAGTTTCTAGGCATGCTTCGGCTTCTATGTTAATGAATGAGGAGGAAGTAAGGACCTCTTCGACTATGGTACTGGACCTCTGCAACTTCTAGAATTGGAAGATTCTATCAGGAAGAATTATACTGTAGACATAAAGTTGGCAGCACAATCCTTTCTTACCCCTGAGTTACTGCCCAGGGGTCTGATGTGGTCATTATACCAAATCTCTGTCTGCTTATGCTTTGTAATATATATTCATTTTATTACTCCTATTCCTCTAGAGAATCATGACTAACGCAGATTGTGCTATTATTGGTATTTCCACCTCTTGATTTCTGGACCTATGAATCCTGACTATAGGACAAAGAATACCATACATTGGATGCTGACTCGGTGTATGGACAGTCTTCTAGAGAATACTGCCCCCTCTTCTCCCAGGCTACTGCAATCATATAGTCACTGTAATTGTGTTCTTAAAAGGCCATTCCATCACCCTATCAAGCCAGTTGCTTCAGGATGGTGGAGTACAAGGTAACAACAGTACACTGCTACACATCTTTGTAAAGTGAAGTCCTTGGTAAGAAGTAATTTAGGTGAAATACTATGATGATGGATAAAGCACTCTGCACAGCTATCGATGGGAGGTTTGGCAGAAGCACTGCATCCAGAATAGGTAAATTCATACCTAGTATAAATATCCATTCAAGTAACTTAGAGTTTTATGCTTATACTATGAACACTTTACCCACTGATCCATCCCCCCACTGTACAAGCCTTTAAAAAAATCAGTTATAGTCAAGGAGGTGTTTCTCTCTTCAAGAAATGCACCCATCTTTTCTTATTCTATTTGTACACTTTCATTATTTATATTCCAAATAATGACCCAGCCTTAGTATGTCAACTTGAGGCCTCTAATGTTTCATTACAACCTGTTGTGTAACAGTTTCGTCTAGGATTGAAACATCCAGTCCTGCAGAGAAGTTCCTTAAGCAAGAAAGTAAATAATTCAAAATAGCTTAAGGAAGTCCCTGAAACTGACTAAATTCACTAGGGCCCTCACTGCCAGAGGAAGGAAAAAAAGCTGAGAGTTCTGCTCAGACTGAAGAATAAAGAACTGCAAAGAAGACCCTTAGATGAGTCCAGCTGCCAAGATGACTTAAATAAGCTGACAAATAACTTAAATAAGTTGCAAAGAAGACTCTCAGAGGAGAAGAACTACAAAGAAGTGCTTCAGACAAGACCAGCTGCCTGGAAAGCAGAAACCAACACAGCTGCTGGAAAAGGTTTAGATCAACTGTGGCACCTAGGACAGGATACTCTTCAAGCCGTTGACCTGCCCAAAGGTTGTGCAGTGTGCTCTAGGTTCCCAAATTTGTGAGCTGTCACTCATGCACTACACACTGGTGTAGATCTTGGTGGCACAGCTGTCAGTTCTGCTCATGTGAGTAACCCCTTACCTATACTCCTGAAAGTAATACTAATAAAATTCATTGGTTCACCAAGTTGGACTTTGGGTGGTGCCCATGCTATGGTCTGTTGTGGGTTCCCTATATCACCTATAGGGTGATCAGATAATGTGTTTTACTTCTCCCCATGAAAAGTTCTGTTACACAACACAACCTCAGAAGTTCCAATAGAACTTTGCTGGGGATTGAAGCCAGGGCTGCACACATACAAGATGAGCACTTTAAAAAATAAGTTATATCCCTGACCTCTACAAATAACTTTTGGCTCAGAAAGATGTAAGGAGTGAAATATCAATGTATAGATAAGAAAAGTGAAGTTAGAATAAAGCATTTGCTTGAGATCATGAAGTTAGCACTAGGACAAAGATCTTCTGTTTCTCCATCATAGAGATCCATGGGTTGTTACAACAAAATAGCTATAACTATATACTTTATAAAGAAAAGAAGTTTGTTGATCTCATTCTGGTGACTGGAATGTCCAAACAACATAGCATCTCATGTTGGGAAACTACACCCCATTATCTTAATATATTATAATACATCATAATGGCAGAAAAGGAGATGGCTACATGCATAAGGTACCAATTACTGGGGACAAAGAACACTGAGGAATATCTTAAGTGCTGCCAATCATACTTTCCCCAATCACTGAGACCAGGTTTTGGTTCCCTGCTATATTTTCTTAATGTTAATCCTGTACATCACTTTCAGTTGTACTGATATTATAATTAAACAACCATGTAATTTGTGGTTTCGTTTTATAATGTCTATTTCCTCAAGAATGAAGATTTGACAAAACAAAAAGAGTCTTGTGAATCTTGTTTATGACTAAACCTTGGAATCAATGTACTTTATACATGACAAACAGGACACCATTTTTAACTGAATCTAAAAGTTAAGCTCACTGGCTCCTACAGTATTGTTTACTGCCCTGGTATCACACATTATAAAAACCAATTCTAAGAATATTTTCAACTAGAAATTCAGGATCCCCTAAGATGAAGACTTAATGGGATTGCAGGAGTTCTATAATTGGAAATGCCAGGTTTTCCACGTGCTTACTTTCATGTATACTTCAATAGGTCTTGACATAAGTATGAAAAGCTGATTCACAATGAACTCTTCCCCTTTAAGAAAAAGTGGAGTAGCTGAAGCACAGCCCAGATTACAGTGGGTAGTAGGTTAAAAATTAATCAATGGGTTGATAAGAATAGGAAACACTACTTTTACCCTAGCTATAGGCTTAAGAACCTATCTTTAGTTACTGTCATCCTTTAATGTTTTTATAACTCCCTTGGTATTGAAATGCGTAGCTATAAAGAATTAAAGTCATAACTCGTATTTTGGGAGAATCTGAGTCACTTTGAAGATGGTTTTTAGACAATCCACATAAAAGAAACCTGAGAGGTGCACATATGTCATTACAATGGATCAGAGAAATGTACATCTAAACCATTTTATACCCATCAGATTGGCAAGAAATTAAAGTTGAAAGTACCACTAATATGGACCAACAAGAATCCTTGAATCTCTCTGGAGGAAGGCACAACATAATTGCAGCCAGAATATAGAACCACTGTACATGGCATCAAGTCGTGGCTCGAACCCTTACAAGCTATGCATCCTAAAAAGGTGTTCCACAGGTACCCTTGCCCTTTTGTAAGTTACATAATGCATTGGTACCAACTGGAATAGTACTATCTGAAATGCAATGCTTTGGTACCACCACTTGGAAAAATGGTAATAAATCCTTCTTCAATAAAAGAGATATTAGAACCGATAAACTAATACACAATGTTATATATTAAGTGTTTGATAATAAATGGAATATCCATAGCTGTTACTAGTACATATATTATTTACTTATATATCACAGGTACATGTGCAGAAAAAAACTTGACCAAAATGACAAAGTTTATCATAGAACTGGAGTTAGAAATAGGATTTAAAGATCAATCATCCCCCATTACAAGTTTATTAATAAGAGGCATATTTCCTATCAGAAACAACTGCATAGTCTGTAGATGTCAAGTAAAGATCAGCTAAAGAAATTTTGGTTAATGATAAGCCTACTATAGTTTTCAAAAAATCAGCAACAGACTTTTACTGATATGCTCAAAAATGTAACCCTAATCTCATACATATTTCATTTGGTTTCTTTCTAAATATATTGTAAAAATCAGATAGACTAATGATACCAGTCCTGGGAAACGCTCGGGGAAAGGCGCAGCTACTTCCGGAGCCACACCGGAACCACTTGCCCTAACTTGTGCAGTTCCATGGGAAGGATTTAGTGATAGGACCACTTCCTGTTTCTGGATCGGGGCGGGTGCAGGGAAAGGAAATAGCTGTGGGAGCCGCATCCTACCTGCGCTAGCGGCTCCAGAGGTGGAGGCAGAGAGGGCGGAGAAGGCAGCGAAGGGTGCCGCAGAGAAAAAAGTGTCAAAGCCAGTAAGTCAGAGCCTTAGAGCCTTAGAGCACGGGACCGAGAGCAGTGCCCCAGGTCTCGCTTTGCAGATCTATGATCTCAACTTGCAGAACTGCCCAGTGGGGTCAGGGCAGTGCTTTCTAGGTTGCCTGTCAGTCAGTGCCTCAAAGGGACTGTGGGGCTCTTTGGTCGGGCCTTTCAAGGCTCCAGACTGCGCTACTGCTGGCCGGCCGGGGTGTCCTGAAGCCAGGGGAAGCCTGTGCTTTCTGGGGACGCTAGGGCTCCGTCCGCATCCTGGACAGCTTCACTTGGAATTCTAAGGGAGCGAGCACTGTGTCTCCCATTTTACCTTTGGAAGCCAGCAAGATCCTGGTGGTGAACAATATTTCGGCGACTAAGACGAGAGCTTGGGAGAGTTGTAGTCTAAAACTACTTTCCCCGCCCTCGTTCAAGCTGCCCGGGCTGGTCGGAAGTGGAGTTGTTTTTAAAGGCAAACGCCTCTGGCCTGCTTGTCACTTCAGAATAAGTTACCAACCTTCAGATCCAGTGCTAAAACAATGCGTTTCCTATCCGAGTCATTAAACTAGTACTGCTGTGGGTATCAAGTGATTACTCTGCAAATATGCTTGATGGCGAAGTTAAAAAAACAAGAAAACTCCCAAGTGCATCTTGAACAGATATCACTGGCTAGCGATCATGACTACTTTGATCCTGACTACTTTCCCACTAACCTTCACACTTACATATAATCTGTCACCTTAGCATCTTTAGTTAATGATGGTCATCTTACAGGCATTACATTATGATTGTGCATCTACACAAAATTTATATTAGAATGTAAGATTCCTGATTACAGACGAAATGAGTGAAATGATTATACAAGTTGCTGGAGAAATCGAACAGTTTTTAGTAAGCTACTATTTTTCTCTTGTCGAAGGTACGGCTTTAGAATACGGGAAAGGATACTTTTCATGGTGCATGGAAGGAAAGCCAATGCGCAGGTAAGCCTTTTAAGAATAAGAAACATTGATTTCAGTGATTGAAATTTAGCATCTACTAACAGTGCATCGTTTAAAACTATTCACAAACCTTAACAAATCCTGCTTGGAATTAATCTTGTTTCAAGTAAATCGAAACTAGTAATATTAGAAATTAGGAACTTCTTTTATTTGGTTATGATGTTTGTATTGTTTTTTGATTTTTTGGGTTTGTTTTGAAATAAGAACTTATTACGTAGTTCTAGCTGTCTTGGAACATGCTGTGTAGACCAAGCTGTCCTTGAACTCACAGAGATCCACCTGCCTCTATCTCTCAAGTGCTGAATTAAAGGTGTATGCCACTATACTCCACAGCTGTATAATGGAGTGTAGGAGTTAGATTTCTACAACGTTTGGATTTTCTGGTTCTTAATATTTAAATCTGCCTTTTTGCTTAGTAATTTTTGTTACACATAATTTTTAAGTGTTCTATGATACATTGTGAGCTTGCTATAAATTTAATACCCTGTACAATATAGAGGATTCTGTTTCCAAGTAAAAGTATATTTGTGAGAGGCTGTACTGCATTCCTAGTTATGGTTTGATTATTTTTACTGGTGTTCAATAATATGTTTACTAAAATAGCTGCATTACAGTGAAGATTAAGGACTAAAATAGATGTAGAAAAATAGAAAAGTGTGTAGTTCCAGTCTGCCTCTAGAATTTACTAATGCCTTTTCTCAAAGAAATTGTACTAGAACCTTTATTGAAACAAGTCAATTTTATTTATTCATTGTTTAACCTTGCATTATGGCTATCAACCTCTGTTTTGTAATATGTTACTTAACATCAAAGATAAACACAGAGACCCTTGTAGAAAAGAGGCATTGCATCATAAGGACAGGACTTAGAACTAGGAGAAGAGCTGGACATGGCCATGCAAACCTGTCAATCCCAGCACCTTACAGGAAGACGCAGCAAGGTCTCAAGATCAAGTTCAAGTAAAGAGTGAGAATCTTTGTCCTTTTTCAGATTTGTCATTGATACATAAACTGGCTTTGAACGGTTCTACTTCCTCTTGTCCTGTTAACTTTGCTAGCATATGTGTCCATGATACAGCATTAGTAAGTGTTCATTAACGCTTTAAGATATCCACATGAGAAGACAGCATAGAGGTGGCACATTCTGTTATCCTACTTATGTCTTACTCTATAGTAAGAAAGTGTTATAGCACACTAGCAGAAGCTAACCCCACATATGTTAAGTGCTTCACCACTTGATTTTCTAGCCTGATTATAAAAACCGCTGATTTTCTCTCATCCTCAGTTGCCATAAGTGCCATATCTTATGTAATTGCTAAAATAAGAACTTAATATTTTTAATTAAATTTTATTTTTAAAACGTTTCATATAATATAGTTTGATCATATCGTTTCCCTCCCCCCAACTCCTCCCAGATCCTCCTTACTCCCTTCTACCCATGCAAGTTCATGTTCTTTTTCTCTCTTAAACACATTCGTGCGCATGCATGTGCACTCGCGCGTGTGCGCACACACATACTCACACAGCAGCAGCAGCAGCAACAACAACAACAACAACAACATGGAGTATGTTTTATGTTGGCTAGCCACTCCTGAGCATGGGGCCTACCCTGGACTGTGGTTGATGATATACTCAGCGAAACCCAAATTTTGTTCTCAGCACCTAGCAGTTGCAAATAGCTTCTTGGTTGGAGTGAGACTTTGTGCCCAATTCCCCTTCTCAGTACTGGGATTTTATAAAGGAAAGTCAGACTGTAGCAATGTCTTTAGTTTGTTAATAATTTCTATATAAAATATGCATGGAGCCGGGTGGTGGTGCACGCCTTTAATCCCAGCACTTGGAAGGCAGAGGCAGGCAGATTTCTGAGTTCGAGAGTTCGAGGCCAGCCTGGTCTACAGAGTGAGTCCAGGACAGCCAGGGCTACACAGAGAAACCCTGTCTCGAAAAACCAAACCAAAAAAAAAAAAAAAGGACATTAAATATGCATGGAATCACTCAATCCAAGGAGCTTGTTTTCTTTTTTTTATTACATAATACTGTCAGCTTTTTAAAATGATGTTGAGAATTCTAATGCATCCATTGTTGAGTTATAGTTTTTTATTATCATACTTGGCCAGAGGCCAGCCTGCCCACTACTCTTTGGTCCTACACTGACTTAATGTCGCCTACATTAAGCTATGGTCACATTCCCCTATCCATTCCTTCTGCTGCTACAACCCAGGAAGTAAACTCTCCAAGGCAATGCTGGGTCTATCCTCAGCTGCCGCTAAAGAAACTTTAAATGAAAGTAAGTCTTTATTGTGAGTTTTGGATGCATGCTCATTCTCTCTCACAGATTGTAAGTTCACCCATAGCACCTAATGCTCAACACCGTAACAGCATAGCACCTAATTACTACTGAATAATTGTCTGAATGAGCAAGATACTCCAGGATTTTCCCCTGCCTGGGGGGCAGGCTCTATGGACAAGAAAAGATTGAAAGCTATCATTAAAGGTATTCTTTTGTAGTTTTAATGTTTTTTTTAAAGAGAGATTTGATTGTTTATTCTTTTTTGAAATGATATTATTGTTATTATTATTATTATTATTATGTGCATTGGTGTTTTGTCTGCATTTGTGTCTGTGTGAGGGTGTTGTATTCCTTGGAACTGGAGTTTCAGGCAGTTGTGAGCTGCATGTGAGTGCTGAGAATTAAACCCAGGTCCTTCAGAAGAATAGCCAGTGTTCTTAGCTGTTGAGCCATCTCTCCAACCCCTTAACATTATTTTTAATTGTATATATTTATGCAGTAAGGTATGATAATTCAGTATATGTATGTAATGATCATTACATACTGTAATGATCAAATCAAAGTAATTACTCATCTTTTAATACAAGGGTTTTTTTTTAACCCGTTATGAAAAATACTATGAAAATTCCTAAAAACAAAACCTATCACTTGGCTAGCTATCCCATTAAAATACATATAATCTCCGAAGGAAATGACATCATCGTATCAGAGAGATTCCTGTCCTCCCAGTGTTTATTGCAGCACACAGACATGATATGTAATCACCTGAAGTATCTAATGAGTAGAGGAAGTAGAAGAGCACACACACAGACACCAATAGTTAGCCATTAAAAGAAAAAGAATATGCAGCAACCTAGATTAAAGTATGTTATCATTATGTTAAGTGAAATAAGCCAGATATAAAGAGACAAAGCTGGGTCCTACCCCTTGCTGGCTGTTCCACTTGGGACAGCAAGGCCTGCAGCTCACCTGGGCAGCACAGTAGAGTTGGCCCTAGTGGTAGTGGTGTGTGTGGTGGAGAATGGACACGGACTGACTCTGGTGCTGGTGAGCCAGTCCTGAGGTTATGACAAGGGGAAAGCTAGCCCCACCGCTCAGCTGCCATGAGGTATATGGCATGGGAGCAGGGATGATGCTCTCTGCCCCCTTCCCTCTCACCCCCTGCTGCGGTAGGAAGGCTGAACCTCGGTCATAAGAGCAGGAGAGCTCATCTTGCCCCTCACTGGCTACAGCACTTGAGGGAGCAGGCCCTACAAGTCATTGCCTAGGCAAAGGTGAGCCAGTCTTGAAGGTGTGAGATCAGGAGAGCTGTCCCAGCCCCTTACCTGCACCTTGGGAGAGTGGGCCCCGCCCCTTGACTGGGCAGTAGATCTGGGCCTGGTGTGGGCACTCAGGGGGAGCCAGCCCTGAGGGCACAAGAGCAGAAGAGCTGAACCTGCCCCTTGCCAGCTATAGCATTGGATGAACTAGCTAAGGCAATGCTAGAGAGCTTGCCCTGGTGGTTTAGGTGTAGGAGAGCTGGTGGCCTGGCCAACTCAGCTATCACCCAGACCCAGATCCAGGGCTTTGAGTTGGCCCACCTCAAAATCTACCTCATCTATAAACTGCTGGGGCAGGTGAAAGGGCTGGTCCTGCAGATCCAAAGCTGCAGGATCTTCCTGACACAGGGTAACAGCAGGATATCCGAGAGGAGTTCTGGTGAGGATCCAGTATTGATGGTATAGTACAAGTCAAAAGCCTCAAACTAGACTAATGACTCATTGCAGTGAACATTTACAAGTAAAGGTGGTAAAGATGTGTGGGACACACTACAGCTTCTATGAATCTTTGTTTTGTTTTGTTTTGTTTTGTTTTGTTTTGTTTGGGGTAGGAGTAGTTTACAAGAGCAAAGGCAAATACAAAGGGACAGGAGATGAGTAAAATTGGGGTACAGGATCACAAAGAATCAATAAAAAGTTTAAAAAACAGACAAAACTACATATTCTTAGGTGTAGAAACTAAACGAAACTGATTTCAGATAAATAGAGCATAGAATATTGACTAGGAAAAGTAAGAGGATGGGGGATATAAGGAGGTTGGACAATAGGCTGCCAAATACAGTCAGATAGGAAAATACGTTCTTCTGTTTTATAGCACAATAGGCTAACTAAAGTTTATATAATTATCATATATTTTATAAAAACCAGAAAAGAGAAATGCAAAGGTTTCCAACACAAAGAAATGATAAATATAAATATTTAAGTTGTTGTGATGCATGATTACAGTTTTATACAATCAACTGGTATTTTATTAGCAAAAGTTTTATTTATCTGTGTATATTTATGCATATATGATATTACATTTAAAATATTTAAAGCATATTCAAAGTTGGGCATAGCACTGCATGCTTGTAATCTCAGCATGTGAAAAGTGGTGGTAGAAGGATCTGAAAGTCATGGTCCATCCTGTGCTATAGAACAAGACTAGCCTGAGCTAGACAAGATCTTCTCTCAAAACAACAACAAAAGCAGTGAAAAATAAGTTTCCCAGGATGGATCCCGGGTCCCAGTGGTTTTTTCCAAAGGCATACACAGTTTTTTCTGCATTATTTTTAAGGCCTTGTAATTCATGTACAAGCATATGTACAGTATGTTCTCTAAAATATATATTATATAAAATAATTACATATAATACAATATAATATATATAATTAT